ATTTTGATTTAGTAGTTACATTGCACGACACCAAGTTTTGAAACAATTTCACAGGGCTTCCAAATTGAGAGGGTGTCGAGACAATCACATTTTACTTGAATCCCATCCTTTTACTGCTGAAAAAAAGCTGTTCGCCTTATCACTTTCTCAGACTACCATGCCCATTCTGCCCCTCTATTTAAACAACTCGGAATTCTGAATGTTTCTAAATTATGCTTGCATTTTCATGTTTGATTTAATCAATGGCAATTTTGCACACAATATTAATAACTATCTTGACCAAATTCCCCACACCTATCCGATGCAATACTCAGTCAACGATAATTTTAGCATCCCACAAATTAACCGCTCGTTATCCAAACATAGTTTTAAGTATGCTGCAACTAAACACTGGAATGCTCTTCCAAATTGTATCAAAACTATTAAAAACAGACACTCTTTCAAGGCTAATTTGAAAAAAAATACTTTCTCAAAAACTAATTATTTTTATTTAGATTTATATAAAATTATCCAAATTTCACCCATTCCTTTGAGGCACCATCTTTGACCTCTTTCCATTTGTTTTGTGGATGCTTCTTTTCACCATTTGTGTTTTATCCACTACATCAATAGAGAAAAAATTAAAAACGATTTCACAGCTTGCTTCATAATCTAATATTCTTATGAATTAATTTATTCATTTACTTCAGTTATTTCTTTTGCATGTTAATTAATTACTCATTAGTATAATGCATTATGATGTGTAAACTATGAAATACAAGTGTTATGTGCTGTTATGCAGGTCAAGCAAATTTATTTATTACGGGATCACAGATTTGATTACCCCCGGTAATACAGGACAACTTCTGTGATCCTCACCAAATTATACTTTAAGAGTTTTTGCTTTTACTTTTTTCATTTTCTGTTTACTATTTGAATTGTTGTACTCATTTGTATTATTTGGTGAAATAAGTGCAGACTAAAATTGATAACATTGCATTGCATCATGGGAATAACATAGGGAATATTGAATGGTACCAAGGTCAATTCATTGGGCACCAAGACAATTGCCTTTAACCTTTTGAGTACCTATTTTTCCCCGCTCAAAAGGGGAGAAATTTGTTGGAATATTTGTTCACATTGACTTTGCCAAGTTCAAGCCCTAATGTCACATTTGAAATGTTTGGATGGAATGTTAAAATCACTGCTGCCCTTTCATTCAACTCAAATGATTTTAATTGACCACTTGTTACTAATAGAGATTTTACAGTCCATCTCTGTTAACTCCTAACTTTGTATTTGTTATTGCAGGTTGTCATACTAGATGCCAATAAAAGTCACTCGTCGGCTACATTACATATAAACACTTACCATGCCGGAGAATGTATCATAGACTTTAATACAACATCAAAAGAACTTGGAGAGTAAGTTGTTGAACGTAAAAAAAAAATCTTTATTAAAGAAGATCTTATGAAGCATAGTCCTATGACAATTCTTAACATTGGTCTAGCAGAACAATACAAATTTATTGTGTCAGTAGAAATACAGTTGTCATTGGTTGACAGAAATAAAATATTAGTAATAAACAATATATAGAAATTAAAATTCATTGCTATTTCTGGTTTCTGGGCTTATTATTACGTTTCCTCCTGAATGCATAATATATTTAAATAACATCTTTTTTTTATTTTCTACCAGAATATTAGTATTACTAAAAAACTGTTGTCTTCTGTTTGAATGTTTTCCATGAATGCAAAGTTTTCGAGGTTGTTGGTATTCCAATTTTTAACAAGAGTAAAGGTCAAACTGTTTTGTTGAACTTAATTTAATTTGTGACTGATTAGGTACTGATTAGGTACTGATTAGGTACTGATCTTGTGTGATACGAGTGAGATATAATGATCCAAAGAATGTGCATGGTGGCTATCTTAATAATCGTATACAAAAATACATCAGGAAATGTGTCCTTTGACAGGGAACAATTTATGATATGAGCAATGGACTCTGCAATATGTTCGGCAGCCACTTTAACAACTTTTGATGCCGTCATAACCAGCAGTTTTACAATTTTAACGAAATAAGAATTAAACAATAATGTGATGTCCTTACTTTTTGTAATAAATTCATCAGGTTTTTTTTTTTTGGGGGGGGGGGGTATATCTGCCATTGCATGTGTGTTTATTCATTTTGTAATGACCTATGGTTGTTATTGGCAGTACAATTGCAAAATTTCCCATGAAAATATGACTTTTTGAAAACTTTCAACAGTTTACGAAGAATATTTTGATACATTTTGTAATAATTTTGCATTTTTAAACTGACAGAATGTCGCTTTGTTTTGGAAAATGGCTTGCCATGGTTTTTTAAGTGGTTTGAATGAAAAAATGATTTATATTTCTTATGACATGTGTAATGACTAAGTCATTAAATAGTTTATAAAAGGTTTCATAGGCCAGATTTAGGGCCAGTAGTTCATAAATTGGCAGCCATGACATTTTGGCCCAAACTGCTTTGAATAAGTTAAGGGTTGAATGAGGGAAAAAATCAAATTTGTAACTATTTGCCAAGTTAGTGTTTAAATATACGGCGTAAATTTTTAAAAACAGCATGAATGATCCCTAACATTCCTATGAAATGCAAAGAATGTGCATTTCAAATGAAAAAGCAAAACTATATGACCCCCACTTTCACCTTGACAGTGTCCTGGAATTAATATTTTATGAAATGTTGTTTTTGTCTAGTGTATCTGAAGTATTTTTGAAACTAGAAGTGGTTCATGTCGTATGGTTGAATATAGTCATTGATGTGGTAGGATGGCTGTATTTTGTGGCCTGGTCGACGTCATTCTATCCTCAAGTTGTTCTCAACTTCAGAAGAAAATGGTAATTATTATATTATTTTATTTGCCCTGGTATTCAATGCAGATGTCAAGATATTCCAGTGACCATTCTTCAGTTAACTTTTCAGAACTCATCATCCAGAACAAATACCACTCATTGGTAATTTCTGTGGAAGGGTTTGACTTCAGAAACAGAAGTGATCTTAATTTACATATATGCAACATAAGTACATGTTGTCATAAATTTTGCAATATGCGATCAGAATGTAAAATTTAGGTGTATAGCATGACACTATTCATTCTAAGAATGCTGATACCAGTAATCTTTGGGAAATGTAGTTTCCTTCATTGTCCTGTCAGTTTTTTAGTTTATTAGCTATGCAAGGGTGTAAAATGTAATTACTAGTTCTTAATCGTGATCACAACCTGGCAGCTATCATGCTAATTGTTTGTTTTTTTCATTTAATCAATAACACAACCTGATGCTGGTTTCTTGGTTTTCTAATAATTTATCATGGTTGTTAACTAAGTTTGTTTTTTGTTGACAAAACTCGCTACTACTTTAAAAAAAACATCAATTAAAAATCATTCAACAATTTTTTTTTAAAAAAACAGTTCCATTTTAAAAGCATATCCGTAGTTACCTTTGTGGTGGTAATATTTACCTATGTTTTACCAACCAATATCTGAGTACAAAAGAATTATGGGTAATCACATTTGGTGATCCTTTCATTTACTTATTTTGTTTGTTTGTTTTCAGTGTAATTGGTTTAAATTTTGATTTCTTGGCATATAACTTGACTGGCTTTCTTGCGTATGGAATGTATAATATTGGTATGTATTGGATTCCTGAAGTATGGGTAAGTAATCTTTGCCACTCATTTGATGTTCTCTGTAGATTTTGTCAGATACTTCAATTGTTTCAAATACCTTTGTATACCAAATGTTTTTCAATGATTTTATGTAAAGGCAGGACCTGGTGCACACAAGTTTTTGATTTCCCTGGTTCAAAACGCACAATGGCAGTCTTAGCATACTACATGTCAAAATTCTTTACACGAAAATGTCAGTCTAAACATGTACCGGTACATTTTGTTTAACAGTGCACACAAAGATGTCCAAAAGTATCAATTACAAGAATAATTAAAAATTAAAAAACATGATAAACGAGTAATAATAAATTAATACCTGCCTTTTTTTTTTTTTTCTATGTTACCAGTAATATTTTTATTTTTCTTCTTTAGGATGAATATAAAGAGGGTCATCCGCGTGGTGTCAACCCAGTGCAGATTAATGATGTGGTCTTCACGTTACATGCCATATTCATCACAGCATTCACAATCATGCAAGCATTCATATATGAAGTAAGTTCTCATATGATACAATGTAATAATAAAATTTATTGCTCTTATAAGGACAGGATAGCTTAAGGTAGCAGGATAGTTTTTTTGCATGAAAAATGTAAACACCTATAATCGGAATAAATTTTACAAGAAACTATACAATCTATATATATTTAGAAAGCTCTTGACTTGTATTTTCCTACTATTAATATTTTGTGAACATTGTGTTTGTTTTAGCGTCACGTGATTCTGAAAATCAGCGGGGCTGATAATTTAACTAACGTGAATAAAATTTTAATTGTCATCTCTACAGTCATTCATGCGATCAAAAACTTTACACTGTTTTGAAGCAAAGGTCATGAAGTTTAAATCCGTATTTCTATTTTTTGCATTAAGTTTTTTTTTTCTTTTCGAAAATCACAAATTTCAAGCACGTTTTTTGGTGTTAAAGTTAGAGTATACCGGTGGTTTGCACGAGGTTTGTGAAAAAACGCAATAGAATTTTGGGCAAATATGCAAATACAGATATGAAGCCAACATATCCAAGAGTAAG